TGTATGTACAGAAAGGTACATCTGACCAATTTTAATGAGAAATGTGAAATATATATTATATATCTTGAAATATATTGTTGCATGCACGGTTGAGTAATATATATACATACAATTTTTCCCATTTAATAATAACTTATTTGATATTAAATGAAACTTTGCCTCCATCCTGATTCTGAATTCTTCATCCATATATATATATATATATATATATACATACAATTTTTCCCATTTAATAGTAACTTATTTGATATTAAATGAAACTCTGCCTCCATCTTAATCCTGAATTCTTTACCCAAACCTAATCTAAATATTGAAAATATCGTGTATAGTATATATATTTATTTATAATATTACACGATATTTTCAACATTTATTTATATTTATAATATTAAATATACACGATATTTTCAACATTTAGATTAGGTTTGGGTGAAGAATTCAGGATGGAGAGTTTCATTTAATATCAAATAAGTTATTATTAAAATGGGAAAAATTGTATTTTGGCATCATTGCAATTGTTTTGTTCATCTTTATTGGACGGACAGTAATATTGCGTGTATTATGAAATAACAGCGTAGGAAGAGGAGAAGCTACACTCCTATTCCGAATTTCCAAACTAAAAATTCCTAATCTTCTCAAACCAAATTCCTAGAAATTTGTCATAAACGTTGAAAATATTGCACACAATATATTTTTTCAGATATCTTATCCTCGATGACATATTTCAAGTTTATTAAAATCGTGTTCTTATGCAAATGATTGCCAATCACTTATTCTTTTGTACATTTTTGTTTCTTTTTTATAACATCTTATATCAACTTGTGTCAGAAAGAAACATTAACGAAATGTTTCGAACATTTTTCCTGATCTTTGCAGAGATCGATGCGCCCTGTTTCCTTGTTTCCCTGTTCTGCCAGTACGTTCATAGCAAAAAATTTTTAAATATAACGCATGCAAATTAATTACGCCAATTACCTGGAATGTTTGCAACTAATTGTCGTAATAAGGTCAGCATTCCGGTAAACATTGCTGACGTGCCTTTTTGCGCAATGGAAATGCCGTGAGAGTGGAGACTCACATGTTGACTAGTTGTACGAGAAGAGAGGTTTAGCGTGAAACGACCGAGAACGTAATAGGGTGGCACCAGTAATCAAAGCTGCTAGCAGGAATCTATTACCGACGTTATAGGTCTCTTGGCAAATGCGAGATTGTTTGGTCATGATTACAAGCACACCTGCTAGCTGTTGTAATTTCGGCGTTATAACTGTGAATCGTTATGATCAACTAGTTTAAACGGGGCACGGTAATGCAGTCTTTGTACTTATGTGTATCAAGGTTGGCAAAATTGCAGTTAAATGGAATTATGGTGAACGTTAACCGAGCAAAGTTTACTTAACCCCGGAACGATATAAACATATGCAACGAAGTTACTCGACTTGTAGAGTACTTTCGGTCTGGTAGAATATTTTCTCAACATTTCTTTTTTTCTTTTTTTTCTTTTTTTGCAGCTTTTGAAAGAATGTTTTTAGACGAACTTGTCTGTACGTAATCAGAATGCAGCTTGTTAATGAGAGGTGCCCAACTAGGCGAAAGAAATGTTTTGCGGTCGTCTTATTTCCCTCTGTAAAAGTTTCTTCTGTTTCATCAGTTAGAAACTTCACGCGATGGGCCTTTGCCCATGAAAATAAACAGTTTGTCTAAACTTTCCTGATGTAAGTAATACCAAGATTTATTTAATGCTAATTACAAGATTCATTCTATCGTATATAATTTACGGCATGGATTTATCCAACGTGGCGAATGATGAATTTGTGTTTGTTCCTTCTGTTGGAGGAAAAAGGCGGTGTAACATGGGTTACAACAAAATGAACTATGATCGTGCAAGAATTCATTAATTTTTAGATTATTTCTCCTACTTCTTCTCTTCGTCGTTTTTTTCCGTAAAAAAAAAATATATTTGTCACGGAAAGAGTCAAAGGAAAGCGCACGAACGTTCCGTAAGATGACAAAACTGAAAAGAAAAAGTATTTCTCTGAACGAAAAACCGTATCGCACGTGTAAATCGTTGCGCGGACATTTTTATTTCGCGCTTGGCACTCGTTCCCTTTGATTAACCACTTGCGCTGGCAACTGATTGCGGACCATAACGAGCGACCAAACCGTATGCAATAATTCGTCGCTTTCTTCTTGAACTCGTCGGTGTGACATCACTGGATAGAAATTACTGAGAAGTAATAAATTTATTATTTGCTTCGCCTATTATATTTTTTATTAAATACACTTAAAACTGAGGAGATATTACAATTTTGGAACAAAAAAATTCCAGAGCAAGCGGTTGAACTTGGGCGCGACACAGCGCTTCTTAACTTACATGGACTCTGGTTGACACGTTGCTTTTAAATTACACTTTTTAAATATTACACTTCTGTTTCGGTTCTTCTGCAGTCTGATATTTACTCGATAGCTCGGCAAATGCTCGAGACAAAGAATTTGGAAGTGTCGTAGCAACGCTTGGCAGCTCAATTTACAGCACGCGGCAATTTCTACTTTTCGCGAAACTTGTCTTTTGTCACTGGATGACATGTCTGATTTCTTGTCACGGCAACTTTCTCGAAACAGCACGATGAGCGCGTATCGTTGAAACTTGTATCAGGAGGCGAGCATGTGTCGGTTATTGATTTTTCGAAACTACGATTCTGCACTTGTTTACCGTGTGACGGAAGTTTCGAGTCGTAGATAGTTCTGGATCGTAGATGAGAATCGAGAGGATATCTTCCCAGGTTCGAGAATTGTGAATCGGAGCCGACGCATGTCGTTAAGTGGAGATGAAGTATCGGGTGGAAGGTTTTGCACTACGTTTTGGCCGCTGTCCAAGTCAAAGGCAACGATAACGATGTCCTCTGACCATTCGGTCGTAGCATTGCGGAACTGGGTCAAAGTGGACTCTGAAATATTATTGTCAAAGCACTCTCTGCCCGTTCGTTGCTACTAAGATAACTTTTTAATTGTGACTGTCGTCTCTACGTGGTCGATTTCGAAGTCGATCGCGTAAACGCGTAGAAAAAAAAAAAATCGATCACTCGTTCGATCAGAGATCGCGACTTTATCAAACGCTATTCTCGGCCAATATAAACTAGTGTAGTTTCAAGTGGGTTGTCTCGTGAAAAATGAGCGAGGAATTCCATAATTAACACGTCAAGTTCGCAGCGGGAATGTAGAGAGATGCGGCTATCACTGTCTACGATGAAGAAAGTACGCGGCCGTTAATCTATGCCACTGGTAGCAAGAAAAATGGTTAAAATACGATTTCCACTTTTCTTCGTACTGCATGCTTCGAAATATATTCTCATCTAGCGCCGTTCGACGAAGGTTTGAAATAGAAAATGGTGTTGCCCTACTTACCTGCACCACCGCTATTGCTCGACTGTTTCTCCGTTTTGATTTCTCGACGCGCGATGTTCCAAAAAAAAAAAAAAAAAAAGAAAGAAAGAAAAAAAGAAAGAAAATCGTTGTTGCAGCACGTGTGCTTGGAATTCGCGCGTTCCACTGCAATTTAATCGGACACCTTCCCTCGAGCCAGGGAGACAGCTGAATTTCATCTGATAATTCGAGTTTGTAGCAACTAATACTTCTCCGTTCCTGTCCGATAAACCACTACGCTGGAAAATAGAAAATGAACGACCGAAACTCGATATTGGTATAAGCACGCCGCGCAAGCATTGCTCCGTATTTGCTCTTCGCTTATACGTATGTGTACAACGCGCCAACAGATTTATGCCAGAATTCTATTCGCTTCCGAGCCTATCGATGATATTGCATTTTTTATTGGCTTTTCGAGAAATTTGGTATTTTATAAAACGAATAATCTAGTAGGATATGGAATATAGAATATCTATTTAATAAACGTACGGAATATTTCTGTAGGAATTTGATACGATAACGATTTTTCTTTTCCTTTCTTTTTTCTTTTTCTTTTATTTTTTTTTTTTTTTTTTCATTCCTTCACTTCAAGTATCGGCGAATGCCCACGACGCATCACGACGGTCTCATTTTCCGGGATTTATGAGCGAGTTTAATAATTTATGACCGTAATCGCAATGCTCGCTGTGATGCAGATTTCTCGCTTTCAGGAGCGTGGCTATCTAAATGTACATTCATCTTTTTTGGTGGCAAGCTAGTACAGCATTAACTAAAATCCACCGACTGGAAGAGGATTCGATGATGAGGTCGAAACAAACTTCGAAATGTGACAGACGGAAAACCACGGGCGACGCTCGTTTGTTCGAAAGTACAGCCAGGCAAATACAGTCGATTAAAACGGTGTTCGCGATGAGGGGAATGGTTTATTCTGTATCGAATTTCACGATCGTTATAATTCATTGGTAGGAAATAACGAAAAGAATTTCGTTCGGAGGAAATACGAGAAAGAGAGAAAGAGAGAGAGAGAGAGAGAAAAGTATTTTAATCCCGTATCGACCACGCTCCAATGCACTTTATCGAAAGTTTTTTGATAAAACCTAGCTAAAAGATGGAAGCATATTTCACAGAATGACTGGGAATCAATATTGAATGTTTGTAATCCTGGTGAGAATAAGCCGGTGGGACGGAAGAATGAAATATGAAAGATAGCTTTGCGTATCACGGATGACACGATATCCTTCGCGTTCTGATATCACGCATAAATCAACAAAATTCATAACTATCGTACACCTGTTTGCTACGATATATATTCGCGATCGTCTTTCTCGATGACAACGCGGTGCACGCATTTCTGATGAGACGAGGTAAATTGATTCGATCTAGAGAATGCTGTAAGACCGAATCCGCACGAAAATATTTGCTATGAAAGCATCCCATACGCGGTATGGTCTCGTATGATTCATCAAACAACGGGATAAAATGTTTATTCTATTCCACTCTACAGGGTATCCATAAAGTCTCTTTACAATTTCAAAAATTTATTACGAAGGCAAATGAAAAGACACATAAGTGGATATTATTACAAAATGAGACGTATATATTTAAGTTTTTTTCTGTCTCATTTAATACACCTCTATATGGGCACCGTTAGTTGCACGAAACACACCAAGACGGTACTCGATTTCTTAGACGATCGATGTTTTCCTCAGATATTCTTGGTCGTCCACTTCTCCCTTTATCAAACATTGTCCCTGTCTCCATAAATTTCTTGTGCCATGCACGAATTGATGGACGCGACGGTGGATCTCTTTCATACTTAGTTCTGAAGTTTCACTGAGTCTGCAGATCCAATTTGATTTCAATAAACCATGATACACATTGTGCCTGCAGGAGTAGCCACTTTGTAAGGAGTTCATTTAACAGCATCTTATTCATCAACAGTATTTGAAATGCAATGTGATGAAAACTTTGATAATCACTAGATACATGAAACAAATCTGAGGAAAATATCTCACCAATTGCCTTTGTAATAAATTTTTGAAATTGTAAAGAGACTTTATGGACACTCACAGGAACAAAGATACGAGACATCGCTAATCTAAAGCTGAGGATCACTGATGTCATTGCCACCATTGACAATGGTTCGCTACCAAGCGAACATGGCAAGAAATCGAGTACCGTTTTGGTGTACTTCGTGCAACTGATGAGTCAGAGAAAACTTAAATATATACGTTTCATTTTGTAATAATTTCCACTTGTCTGTCTTTTCATTTGCCTTTGTAATAAATTTCCAAAATTGTAAAGAGACTTTATGGACACCCACAAGAACAAAGATACATCGCTAATCTAAAGCTGAGAATCACTGATGTCATTGCCACCATTGACAAGGGTTCGCTATAGCGAACATGGCAAGAAATCGAGTACCGTTTTGGTGTACTTCGTGCAACTGATGAGTCAGAGAGAACTTAAATATATACGTTTCATTTTGTAATAATTTCCACTTGTCTGTCATTTCATTTGCCTTTGTAATAAATTTCCAAAATTGTAAAGAGACTTTACGGACACCCTGCATTTCTATTGTGTTTCATTCGCGCAGCAAAAGAATCGAATCTTCCGTGGCACGTGCGAAAATGCTCGAATGTTACATTAGAAATTCCTTTGGTAATTCTTTTCCCAAAGCGTGAACCCACGTGTCGTGTATTGCGATCTTTTGAATAGCCTCTGCCCTCTGCGATGTGCGAACATTTCAACCGCAACATTCGCCAACTGTATTTCGCTCGCGTGCTGACAATAAAGACGATTAGATTTGTACGGCTGTCGTTCGCGATGAAATCTGGCAACCATTGGAAAGACATTAGCGTGATTAAAAGGAAAGAACGGTTGACAATAAATGATTACGTGCGTGCGTGGGAATCGAAGGTGTACACGTCGACTGGCAGACGTGTGTACGTCGGAGGTCAGAATGAAATTGCAAGGTTATTTCTGGCACACATATGCCAGTCACGTTTCGAAACGTTTTAGAGGAAATCGCTTATATTTCATAAATCTCCGGTCGGTAGGTGGTGCTTGGTTCGCAGGCTTAGCCACACGAGGGTTCTAGCGGAAAAGTTGAAGATCTCAAGGGATCGTGAAATTCGAGTGACTTTCACTCGGCGGTTCGTTACACATTATGAAAAGCCAACTCTACGATGTTTTGCCTGGAGAAAAATTTACGTGGCGTCGGACGGAGAATCGAGAAGAACACTCGAAACTATTTGCACATAAATCGACAACATTCGAAGGAAATACGTACGGAAATAAGTGTAAAAGAAATCGTACACTTTGGCAATTTCTCCTCTTTCCCTTGCTTTCTCCGCGCGGCGAGTTCGTACAAAATCCTGGTCGAAACAACTAGTTCAAGAATTAGGAGAAATCGTTAATCAATCTATCATTTTAGCAGCTAGTTCAGCTCTAGCTTTATCGATCACTGCGATTAGAAGCAGTTAATTATCATTGAAAAATACACAGGCTACAAACGTTCAGCGTGTCCCGTATTGTATTTTCGCGAAAACGTCGAAAACAACGCGTAATGACTATCGCGTGTGTTCATCTTCTCTGCCTGATTTTTTTTTCTGCTTTTTCACTCTGCCCTCCTTTGACGTGAATTTACTTATTCAACGGGAGCGGATATGTATATATATATATATATATATATACAGTGTATCTGTTCGTCGACCGACTCGTTCACCTGTTGATGGACGGTTCCGCCTACGGGATCAAAAGGATTTCGTGAGGTTGCCAGAAGGGATGTTCGGGAGCTTTCATCAGGTATCTGCCGAAAGCGAAGCTAGCCAGCGTTTCCAAAGGGTGTCTTTCTTATGCAAGAATTTCAGATGCTCGAGGAATTTCGTTAGTCCTCGGAGAATGCAGCTGCTTTTGCGTCAACGAGTCGGCGGACGCAACACGGGCGAACGGACAGAGGAGTTTCTATTCCACGAAATACAATACATTAGCCAGGGGAAGTCCCTTGGCGTTTCAAAGTCGCACAGTTCGAACCGTATTTCGTTCCGAATCGCCTCCGTTGTTTTCTGCCTTCGCTACGTTAATTTCAGTCGCCGCGAGAGTCGTGTACTTCGAGACAACGGTCTTCCGTTTCAAAGCCCTTTTCACGTTTGACAAATAATCGAGCGCAATATCGGCTGTTCCAGCCGGGAACGAGAGTGAAGTCGGGGAAGAATGAGAATTACAATGGGATTCCACAGTTTTTATTCGTAAACCCCCCCTATAAAACGATCTACGCGTGAACGTCAAGAAAAACATTCATTCGAGAAAGTTTCATTCAAAGGTACAGTGGCAAATTAATCAACAGCGGTTCTGTGCAAGGTTTGGCTTGATGTCGATGGTCTTTCTCTCGCTCTCTCTTCCTCTTACGGACGAACGAACTTTTTGATAAAACGAGCTGTTTGCCGAGTTGACGCCAAGAGCAGGCAGGACATCACGCGATTCTTGTTTCTCCTCTCGATTTGCTTCTGTTGGAAGTTTTCTTCCCGTTAACTTTCCGTTTAATTTTCCCGAGGAGCAGCCTGACTCGTATGGACGTTTCAGGTTGGCGTGAGCAACGTTAATTAATAGTTTGGACGAAATCTGTTTCCTTCAGCTGGCAAGTATCGATTGCATCTCGTGCATCGAGTGTCATGCACCACGTGAACATGTTTCGTATCGGAAATGAGATTCGTAAGGGCGATAGATGCAATCAAACGAAACTTGATACGCGGCGTTAAACCTAACCTGCCAATTCCTGAAAACATTCTCGCGTGAATTCTACGCATTTTCCCATATTCCCGGTCGGTCACTTTCACGATCGTCGGTTGCCAGGCTACAAATTAAATTTCACTCCAGCTACGTTTGCCACAGTTTCGATTGAAACGCGTACTGTTCTATCTGTTTAGTTGCATCTTGCGTCGAGAATATACTCTCCGATGTTTGCAAACTCGTGAACTTGATCAACTTTGAGTGACACTCGTTTCCTTTCGACTTCGAAGGGAAGAGCAAACTGTAGTCCTGCGGAATATGCAGTCGAATTTTTCAATTTTATTTTTTAAAACTGAATATTAATAAATACAAATGACATATAATTTTTTACATCCGTTACGATGTAACGTGTTTTCTGAGGGCAAAAGGTTCAGAATATTTTGTTGTTCAATTTCATTTAACATTATTATATAGAATGTCTCCCAGAATAGACTTTGAATGATTATAAAATTCTCCATTATATTATATTATATTATATTATTATTTTATATTTTAATTATAATATATTATATTATAATATATTAATATTTTATATTATAAATTTGTATACTGTATACATTGGATGATTACAAAATTCTCCATTATATCATATTATATTATTATATAATATTTTATATTATAAATTTGTATACTGTATACTTTGGATGGTTATAAAATTCTCTATTATATTATATTATATTATTATTTTATATTATAATATATTATATATAATTATATATTATATTATAATATATCAATATTTTATATTATAAATTTGTATACTGTATACACTGGATGATATAAAATTCTCCATTATATCATATTATATTATTATATAATATTTTATATTATAAATTTCTATACTGTATACTTTGGATGATTATAAAATTCTCTGTTATATTATATTATATTATTATTTTATATTTTATAATTATAATATATTATATATAATTATATACTATATTATAATGTATTAATATTTTATATTATAAATATATATATACTGTATACTTTGAATAATTATAAAATTCTCCATTAAATTATATTATATTATTATATAATATTTTGTAATATAAATTTGTATACTGTATACTTTGGATGATTATAAAATTGTCCATTAAATTATATTATATTATTATATAATATTTTATATTATAAATTTGTATACTGTATACTTTGGATGATTATAAAATTCTCTATTATATCATATCATATTATTATATAATATTTTATATTATAAATTTCTATACTATATACTTTGGATGGTTATAAAAGTCTCTATTATATCATATTATATTATTATTAAATATTATATTATTTATAATATTTTATACAAATAGATTATATTATAAATTTGTATAATGTATAAATTTTTATATTATAAAATTTATACACAGACTTTGAACGATAATTTTATCTCTACTTTTTTCTTCTCCGGCGAATTCTGTAGCAACATAAATTGTGTATACATTTTTCTTTTTTAGGACACTGTATGTTCCACGACGTTTCCACGTAGCCTTATTCTTGAACCATGTCGAAAGTCCGTGACCCATTGATTCTGGATTAATGTCACCTGCTCTAGAATTATTTAAATATTCTCCTCTCGTCTCGGATTTTCCGCCGGTCATGGGCAACGATTTTTACTATAGTATCTCCCGCATAGAGGCAGCAACAATAGCGCCGGCTCATGAGAACCGAGTCAATAGTTTATATAGCCGAAAATCGCATTCCTCCAAAGTTGTACGCGCCCGTTCCCCAACTATTTTATGTACGATGAAATTGTGCGCTTCGAATGCTATCAACGCGAAGATTGAATTTCGCGGATTCCCGTGATAAATAGCTGGTTTAATAAAATCAACCGGAACGCGGACGGGCCAGACAGAGAGATAACATCCGGAAAGGGCTGGGAGCTCGGCTACGGTCACGGAAGAAAGTTCTGGAATTTTCGCTGAAATTGGATTGACGCGTGCAGAGTGAAATTTAACGTTGCCTTTCAATGCTCGAATTCAAACCGGTTGCTTTTAACCAACGTTTCAAAAGTTTCTTTTTTTTACCGTGCGATGCGCGCGCGCGAAAAAGAAATTCCTTTTCCGGCCGCGCTTCGAATATTCACGCGACTTGTCCCGCCATTGTTTCCCCCATTGGGGAAACATTGGCGAACAATACGGCTGATTTTAAGATAAAAGTTGCGAAGCAATAATTTCGACGCTTTGAAGTGAATGCGCCGGCGAATTCCTCCCCCTTGGGTCGACTCTTTCGCGACAGCGCGAGCGAGTTGCAAGCCGCTGGAGAAGTCACAATTGCCCCGTCCTCGTTTCCGCACCCTTCGATAAGAGCCACTTTTATCAGGTGACTTCTCATAAAAGGTTTCGCAATGAAAAAAATAGAGAGAGAAAAAAAAAGAAAAGAAAAAAGGAAAGGAAAATAAGGAGAAGAAAAGAGAAAGGAGTCCGTCGATCGGGATGCGATAGCGAATGAAATGGAACGTATTGTTCCAGCCTCGTGGAGGCTTCTCCTTTGTGGGTATTTCGATTTCCAGCCGGTTGAAGGATAGTTCAAATTTATTTACGTCAAAGGACTGTCTTTCCAGCGCGAAACGGATACAGAAAGGATACACGTCGCAAAGCGTTGCTTCCACGAACAGTTTACGATGTATAAACACATCTGGGTGTGCATAAATGGTCGTGTGTCAGGCAGGCAAGTCGGATCTACTTCGATTTCTCGACGAATCTTGGATAAAATCTAGTTTCTAAAATTTTTCAAACTGTCGTGAATTCGTTTCTCTTCAACTTATAGCGGAGATTAAAGCGTAATCACGTTCTCTTTTTTTTAGAATTGACCGTTGTTTCTTTCTTTTTTTCTCGTGAGAATTGTTCTTGCGAGGTTATGGACGAACAAACGAACCATTTAGATTCACGAAACGGTTGGTTAAAAGTATTTTTAATGAATATTTTCGTTGCTAGAGAAACGCGTTAGTCGAGCACAACACATTCGAATTTCGTGTCTTAAATACGTTACGAAGTAACAGCGCGATAAAGCTGATTAGAAGATTCGGGTGAAATATTTTTAACGGCCGGTTGGTGTATAACGGAGACGCATTCGGAGAAGAGGTTTCTAGAATTTGCTTGGAGAATTTCTATCTCGCCATAAAATTAATTACTTTCAGGATGAAATTGTAACGGCAGGTAATTATCGAATATTGGACGTATTATTCAAACGGACGACATTTAACGGGAATTTCTATGTTACCAAGAATTGTAACCGGCAACTGTTCGACGTTTGATGGAAATGTGAAAATGAAATATGTGTGCGAGATAAAATGGCAGAGAAATGGAAGAAAAAAAATAAAATAAAATAAAATTGTGCAATTACTATCGACAAGTATCGGAGCGAAATTTTTTAACTCAATTTCAACTGCTCGCCGCTCGCACGGGGAATCGATAACGCAATTGTACTTAAAATATTTCAATCACGAAGCCCGGGCAGCGCGAGGGAGGGAAGAATTTTTTTTCAAGTTGGGGCAAAAACCATTTGTCGTACGGTTTTCGCCAAGTTCACTCGTTCCCTCAACTCTGTCAGTAATTCAATCATATTAATTACTCGTAATGGTATGCCTTCTGGTGCCTCTTGGGGCGTGATTCTAGGAAGATCACTTGATGAGCTTATTTAATGTCCCTTCAGGGTTTCCAGCGAATTTTCTAGCTGGGTATAAAAACGAAGGTGCAGCTATAAGATTTAAATAGGCCTCCGCGGTGCGATAGCTGCAACTGTCTGTACGTGTGACAATTTTATTGCGTAAAAATTTTACTTTGAACGAACGTAGATTCGGGAAGAATTCATATTTCGTAAAGAGGTGATTGTACAGAAAAAGATACGACTGTTTTAATTTCCGTGATATTCGCGAAAATATGTTTCTTCACTGTGTATATTCAGTATGAAGTTTTGTGAAAATTTCCTCTTAAGTTGAGACTTGTGAAATATATTAAATTATTTAATTTCCTCTTAAAATAAGGATAAATGGCGCTACCAATTTCTACGATTCTTTAATATGTTATCAAGATCATTAGTTTGGAGGTTTCAAGCGATAGTCGTTGTTTATTAAGAAATTACTGTCAAAGAAAGTTCATACAAAAATACATAATTTCTCGCACAATATATATACGATATTTATTTATTATGAACATAGATTATGTATTTATAAATTTTCTTTGACAATAACTTTTTAATAAAGTAACTTTTTTAGCGAATATCTAAAAACTAAGAGAAATCATTATATATATTTAGGTGCTTATTATTATATCTATAGGAAATTATTGTTATATCTATAGGAAAAAGTTGTTGATCATGGCCTTAATAACATATTTCAAAGTAATTGAAATCAGAAATAGCTCTCTTTTTTTTTTTTGTACAATTAGCTATAAAAATATGTATTTGTGAAATTATATTTTTCTGTGATTTACCATATTTTAATAGTTATTGTAATCATTTATTTACGAAAAATGCTGAATTTTTCACTATTTTTCTCTACTCACACAGCCGACGATCGATTCTCATTTATCGTTTGAGAACAATATTCTCAACTATTGTCGAGATACTACAACATTTTAAGCGAAATTTTAAGCGGATTAAGATTATAGTATTATTTCTAGATTATTCCCATTATTACGTGATTACGGATTTCAATGAAACTTCATTTCTATGACTTGCGACTAGAATTCATAGGCTCGAATTATTTACCTCCTTTGAAAGCGATACGAAATTCTGCTTCGTCAAGTAGAATAAGTCGGTATACAATCAGCCACTAGTAAGGAGCCAGTCTCGTGTTGATTTTAGCTGTTGCCGGCAATGTTAAATGCCTGCCGCGATTATTCGATCCATCGCTGTTAGACACTACTGTCATTCTCCGATTCGCTGTCTACAGACGTCTATTTTCGTTCAACGTTTAAGAGGTAATGGATTGGCTCTTCCATCTAAAACATTTAAATTTTATGGTGCATACTTTGAAACAAACGATGCAATAAAGTTGCCATTAGCGGAGTTCTGCTGCACTTATAGAGCAAACAGTTTCTTACAGCGATAGTTTGCAGCCGTAGACGTCGTCCAAATTTTGGTCGTTTGTTATTTCTTTTTCTTATTTATACGATTATTTGGAACTCTTACGATGCATTGAGTATATTGACTGAGTGTTAAAATAACTGTTGGTTTATTTCACGTTGTGATAGAGTAAATTAAAATTGATGATTTCTCAAATCGAGGTACAAAA